AGACAGGTCTTGTCATTTATGCTCTCAAAGTCGTCCATTCCAAGATTTTCTCTATGACTGCGCGCGAAAATGACCTTTGCACTCCACATCAAAAGTGGCATCAAAAACTTTCCTGCTACTTATTTTACTTATTGTCAAACATTAATTGGGATGTTTCCTCCATGTTTACTGCAGTTTTCTTGTAGGTGAATACAAAAGGCTCCGCGCGCCTTCTGTCTGACGTAATCATAATAATTGTAGAGGATGCCACATATCCATATAAGATATCGGATTTGTAATATAGTCATTATATACTTGAGATTCAAAGCAATAATAAATTAATTTCACTTTTACACTGAATTATTATGATCGGGTCTTCTAAAATATAAACATTAGTTCTAATTAAACTTAGTTAACTTTAAAATGTGGCATGATGCGAACCAGCTGGTTTATTACTCAAGACCAAACGAGATGTAGAATCAAATGTGAAGTTCACTGTACTTAACATTCATGACAAATCCAAAAGATCTATAATATTTGCCCCCCGTTTCAGTGAGGCCGAAAAGATATTCAAATTAAGAGAGATGTTGCATGGGAAATATATAAATGGAGAAATGTGTTATTGTTTGTGTTTCTTCTAAATGCTTTGTGTATTTCATTTGATTTTGAAACAAATGTGCAAAGACGCAGTACTCTGTCAATATATCCATATGTGTCTGTATTTAAATCATCTTTAGGCCTAGGAACTGTATGAAGATTGCCCAATATGGCCGTCTAAGTACGGCACTTGTGTGAAGAATAAGAAATCAGAGCTAATTCAGAGCTAGAGAAGCCAGAAGGATATCGGCTGTTGACGTTATACCAAACCAAAACACTACAGAAGGGGATAAAACTAAAATGTGTGGCCCAAGAGAACAGTTATAATATCATGAGTAGATTATGAATACATTTGATATTTGCGTGGGAGAGGCCAGGTGACAATGACAAGTGATAAACCATTAGCTTCAAAATGCTGTTATGGAGTAAAGAGAACATTTCTTTGGACATACTGGACGCTAGTGGATGAAGAAAATTAAAGTTTGTATTCTGCTGGCTTCTAAAGAATTCACTCTCATAATAAATCTTAATTTTCCCTTGTAAATGTTTGCGTTACTTATGTTTATTTTTTATGTTGGCGGTTTCAGCTAGTAATAACTTGAATTTAGCATTAAGTAAGGTATAAATTAGTATTTGTTTTCGAGCATTCGTTTTCTAATGTCTAGATGAATATTAAGGAACAATGAAACTCACTCCTCAAACCAAGGACTGAAGATGTAATTGCTGTACAATCCAGTTATATGCTACATAAATTTTGCTGAAAAAATCTGAATACTAAGAACAGCATATATATATATCAATATCTTTATATACTTTCAGGGAAGCAGATTTTCTTTTGCACTTACAGAAAAATGATTTATTCTATTTTTGTAAAAATAAAACTCACTTTTCAGTTGAAATGTTACTATACCATTGTCATGCAGAGACAACTTGCTTCTGTGAAATGTATTTCTGGGATAACTATCATATCCTGAAACTTGTACATAAAACAAATTATGCTGTACTAAAAGGTAAATAAATATACCAAATAATGTGAAATGACCAAGAAAAACATAATGCAATGTAACAGTTTCACAATTTCAATAAAACGTTATTATGCTACACGAAAAAAAACCCTGTGGATACATCTTTCACATAACTGAAAGGCATTAGACTTTCTGGCAGTTAATGGAGACAGATACCCATTTCTTTGTTACTCTGACTTATAGAATGACTTCTCTTCTGTGGAATATGCTTTATTGTAAAATTCTGAGAACTTTTACTTCTTTACCTACTCTTTATTTTACCCTAAATTTTCATCCTAGAAACAATTAACGGACTGGAAGAAATACTCTAAAAGATCTTGTAACAGCCACATTTCTTGTAATTCCATCACCCTGTATAAAGTAAAGTATTTTGAAATCATTCATCTATGTTCATATTGGTTAATTATCATTACTAATCTGCAATCAGATTGTTTTGAAATATACAATCTTATACAGCAAAAATATATTTTGTCTCAGGCCAAACTAGCTAAGCTCTTAAAACTATAATCACACAACACTAAATACTGCTTATATATCTATATGTCCGTGACTGTTTTGTGTGACTGCATGTACGTGTGTATGTGTATATATACTCTTTATATGTGTATGTACGTATATCTTTGTATAATATACTCTTCATAAATGTATGTAATACTGAACAAACACAGATTGTTAATATAATCAAGGCATGCAATAAATAGATCTCTTCAGAATTATGTCTTTATCAACCATGAGCTAAACATAACACAACATTTACCATATATATGTTCTTTAGGATGCTTTGCAATACAGTACATTATTTTAGCATTGATGATACATGTACTATAAGTCTGTATTTTATTTCATTTTATAGAATATACATATACTTCAGCATTTATTTGTGTGTCCATGAATATGGTGTATGCAGTATGCACTATATATATCTGTGTGTGTGTGTGTGTGTGTGTGTGTGTGGTGTGTGTGTGTGTGTGTGTGTGTGTGTTGTGTTGTGTGTGTGTGTGTGTGTGTGTGTGTGTGTGTGTGTGTGTGTGTGTGTGTGTGTGTGTGTGTGTGTGTGTGTGTGTGATAGATAGATATGTAAGTATATATAGGCAGATATAGATAGATAGATAGATATATGTATATAAATGCACACACTTGTACGTATATCCACATTTATATCAAGGCCTATACGTCAATAATTCAGCCTTTATTAGTAAATGTTTTCATAATGATAATACAAAATATAAATGTATCATAACAATGCCAGCCAAAATACATGTACTGATAAAGCATGTTTGCCTAAATTCTACCTTTAATTATTTTAATGCCACAGAAGACAGACCAGTCGTAAACTTTCCACACCAACTGAACCCTCTGTCAAAATGTATACAAATATCCTTTGCATACATGACAAATTTCATCTACACAATCTACTACAAAGTGGCATCAGTGGAATTATATAATTTTTCATATTTATACTCCATATATTTTTTCACAAACACTTACAGCAATTCATGTGTTATTACTAAGCATCAACTAAATGAATGATAGTCTTGACCTCTTGATAAGTAAAATCAACTATTAAGACGTAAAATTGACACAAGAACTACAGTGATGATTAACTGACTTAACATTGATTACATAAGTATACTTCTGTTAGGCCTCTCTGTACATGATCTTGTTGCTACTCTACCTCAGATACCTACATGGTGAGACAAAACAAGCTGAATGGACAAAAGTGGAGAAATCGACATTAAAATCAGTATTAATAACTGGAGTATAATCCTCAGCCATTAAAGAAAACAGAGATAAAGGAGAAAACAAAAAGGTAAAAAGAAATAGGTAAGCTTAAATCATCAGATATATACATACATTTTTTTTTGCTTATTGTCATCCGTATACACGTGAAAATTAGTGATACAAAATGTCAGAGCGGCAAGTCAATATTTGTTTTATGAAAGCTGCAATTCATTGAACAGTTTTCAAACGTTGTTCTGATGTTTGTTACGTATCAATACTAAGAAAAATAAAGCTTGAAATACTCCCCATGTTGGAAAAAGACATATCCTGGCCTCATAAATAATAGCAAGAACAATACTATATAAAAAAAGTGTTGAACAAAAGAGAAAATAAAGGTATTCATGAATGATACAAGAAACTGAAAGAAATATACATACATACAAAAAGAACTCACATTCACAAGACAATCCAATAATGATTAAACGTAAATACAAAATGACTAGTCCCACAGCTTTTGCCCAAGCCAGCCATTTCCTCCCTGATCCTAAGACTAAGTGACTGCATGGTATAGGAGACTGAATCCACTGTGCTTTACTTTTCATCGTAATTATACTTTAGTCACTAATAGACTCTATTTTTATATGCTGTTATCAATAATTTTAAAGTAGAAAATATAATTTAACTAGTAATTGTTTGGGAATAAAGTAGAATGTTACAGTATATTTTTTCCATGAAAGATTCATGTGTTTTGTACCTTATGAGGATAGACGAGTGTGACCGTCTGTCACACATGTAGTTTGCTAATATTTTATTTTATATGAATAGGATTTATCGACTAAGGTCAAATCTATGACACAATCTGAAATTTATTTGTGGATAATTTATTTTCTGATTTTGTCAGGCACTGCTTGCATTATTTTCTTTTAATTAATATTTTTCCTGTTCTCTTCCTTTCCTTTTATTTTTCACAAATAAATAAACTATATAACAAGGTTAATGATATACCTGAAGAATGCTTGTTCGTGTACTGTTTTTGTCTTACAAGGTTCCACATCAAAAGATTACTTTTTCTTATGCCGAAATAATCAAAGTCTTGTTTAATCTTTCTTCCCTTCTCTTCCCTCTCTCCACACATCAGGTTTATCTGAATTCTCTCGTTTGATGTTGTATCCTAAACTACCCTTGTTTAAAAGCTGGTAAGAAACTCTTAAAGTTTAATATACTAGCTTTGTCTTTCTTTCCCCTTGACTTTAAATTTCATCCTTTAGTAAATAAATTTTGCATGATCTTTATGTACATTTCCCTAAACACCTCCATTTTGGTTCCATTATATATATATTACTCTCTTTACTTAAGTACCTAAAGTTCGCACACTCAAGAAGTAAGTGCGACTCCATAACCTGGAGAAAAGGGAATTTCACATAGCTAAGCAGTTTCTGTTAAATGACAGTAAATAGTATATATAGAAGCTTATTCCGAAGCTGAAGTACATAGTTATTCATGAACGATTTGGCCTACACTATTATTTCAAAGTTCCCCATATTTGGATACAGTGGTAGCTTGTTCTTTGTAGGTGACACTATCCGTCGTTAGTGGTTCCTCTTCATTTTGCTTTCTGTTCTTCTTCTTCTTCCTCTTCGTCGTCAGCCTCCTTTCTCATCGAAGGTGTTGCCGTGTTGTGTTGGGTCGTCGGGGAACAGTGGGTTCTTCACCTCCATCTCACCAGTCTGGAAAAAATCAGTAATACGATTTCTTAACAAGTTTCCAATATGCTTTGTGGTGTCGAAGGAGTTCCTATTGATCAATTTTCTCTCTCCTTTGTGTCATTATATCAAGATCTATCTATCTATAATATTTTATATATATATATATATATATATATATATATATATATATATATATAATATCTATACTAATATCTATCAAACTATATATATATTTGCGTGCGTGCGTGCGTGCGTGCGTGTGTGTGTGTGTGTGTGTGTGTGTGTTGTGTGTGTGTGTGTGTGTGTGTGTGTGTGTGTGTGTGTGTGTGTGTGTGTGTGTGTGTGTGTGTGTGTGTGTGTGTGTGTGTGTGTGTGTGTGTGTGTGTGTGTGTGTGTGTGTGTGTGTGTGTGTGTGTGTGTGTGTGTGTGTGTGTGTGTGTGTGTGTGTGTGTGTGAGTTCTTTCAGAATGTCAACGTTGACACAGGACGCACTATTATAATGCTGCATACTTTCTCAACTTTATTTCCTCATTCATCATACGTAGCTGCCATCTACAAAAAATCCTGCAGAGCCATTTCTTCTTGAAGGTAACCCTATTTAGATATCAATGATTTCATAGCCACTGAACAGTTACATGTCTATTACAAGTTCAGAGCAGCTTTATAATCTTGCACAGCTCTATAACAGCCTTCATGTAATCCAACTCGGGGAACTAGTACCCGTATCACTTACGGATACCTACAGCAGCTTCCTTGAAACAATTATTCCCCCAGAGAAACTTTTACGCATTATCCAGTATCAAGAAAAAGAAAAAAAAAAGATACCTGGAAAACTACGGTCTGTCCCTCTTCATTATTCCCTCTCCATTACATTTTCCTCTTTATCCACCTATTTCCTCTTTACAACAGGATCTGCAATGCCCGTACTAACCGGGGCAAGGCCGGGGCACTCGTACACAGTGTACTCGTTCTCCTCCCCTTCCTCCTCGGAGTCCACGTCAGAGGTCGATCCATGGCGCTCTCCACCGGATGACCTGGAAATGAGGGGGTGTGGTGAGGCCTCACGTGACGGGGGCTTACCCAAAGGTGGTGTTAATGGCCACTAATTATGGAGGGAGAGGGGGAGGAGAAGGAAGAAGAAGAAGAAGAAGAAGAAAAGGAGTAGAAGAAGAAGAAGAAGAAAAAGAGGAGATCAAGAAGAAGAAGACAGAAGAAGAAGAAGAAGAGAAGAAGAAGAAGAAGACAAGAAGAAAAAGAAGAAGTAGAAAGAAGAAAGGAATAAGAAGAAGAAAAAGAAGGGGAAGAAGAAGAAATAAAGTAGAAGTGCCATCATGTACAACAAATCACATGGAAGATTACTGAAATGATTAATTCCGAGACACAGCTCATTTACATACCTAATCCATGGACATTTACACAGATCATAACTCTCGAAATGACACGTCCATACTACACTATCAAAACAAGTAGAATATATATATATATATATATATATATATATATATATATATATATATATATATATATATATATATATATATATATATTAAAAAAAACTCATCTCGAAGATACTGCGTCTCTTACAAGCAAAATCCTCACTGAACTTTTTTTTCACAAGAACCAGACTCCACCAATCTTACTTTTCAAGGGCAATCATCTGCTGCTTTTGGTGTTGATAATGGTACATGTGAGCGGACTGAGCGAGCTTCCGGTCTCCGCTGGTAGGGGAGAGGTCCTTATTGGGGCCTGTGACGCCGTAAGCCGGATAATCTGCGACTGAGCGGCACGGTGATTCTTGTTCAACCTGGAAGTAGTGCGAATATTATTATTGGTACTGTTGTGAAATTGGTTTTCTGATCTACTTATTATTTACTATTGGCGTTATGGTGATAATGATGATGGGGGTGATGGGACCGGTGGTGGTGGTGATGATTTTCAATTGTCAATAATCGACAGAAGAAGAGATTAACACACACATATATATATATATATATATATATATATATATATATATATATATATATATATATATATATATATATACGGAAACATCAATGTAGTTTAATGGAAAGATAGATTTTGATTATTATATCGATTTATTTCTTCGTCTCTCCCTCTCCTGTTCTTCAGTAGAGTCATATCAGATAGCCTTCCACAATTACAAACTTTATAGAACCAATAAGTTATCAAGAAGTTACACGTCTAAAATGTATTCAGATCATCATGATACGAAGTAGTGCATCCTTCTCATTCCTTGTTCATGTTTACCTTCTTTTAAAAAGGTCTCTTTCCCCCTTTCTTTTATTTTCCTTCTCCCTCTTCTTTTCTCCGTGTTCTTACTCTCCCCTGTTTTCTAATTCTTCCAAGGCATTGCTTTCTCTTCCAGCCCTACTTTCTCTTCCTTCTCAATCTCCACTACCACGTCCGTATCTTCCTTTCCCTTCACCTCTACTTCTTAATCTACTTCTACTTCCACCTCAACCTCCGGCTCCTTCTCCTCCTCCTCCCATTTTTCTTCTTCGTCGCCTTTTTCTTCCTCCTCCACCTCTTCATTTTTTTCTCCTCTCCTCCGCATTCTTCCCTTCCTCCTTCTCCTCTTCCCTCCGCATCCTTCCCTCCCCTCCTCCTCTCCACATCTTCTTCTCCTTCTCTCCTCCTCCTCCTCCTCCCTCTCCTCCTCCTCCACATCCTTCTCTTCCTCCCTCTTCCTCCTCCTTCCACATCCTTTTCCTCCTCCTCCTCCCCTCCACATCCTTCTCCTCTCCTCTATCCCTCTTCCCCTCCACATTTCCTCCTCCTTCCTCCCTCTCCTCCTTTCCCTTTCCTCTCCTTCCATATCCTTCTCCCCCCCTCTTCCCCTTCCCCTCCTCCTCTCCACATCCTCCTCCTCCTCCTTCTCCTCCCCTCCACACCCATCACCCTTTCCTCCTCTCCCTTCGCATCCTCCTCCTCTCCCCCCTCCCCTCCGCAACCTTCTCCTCCCCCCCCCCTGCCAAGATTCCGAATGGGAGTTCTAACTTCACAAGAAACAATAATCCAATACTCCAAGGGTCCTTCATACGTCGCTTCCGGGTTACCGTTTGAAGCGCCCTTCTCCCTCCTGTCCTTCCTTTTCTCACCTCTTTCGCTTCCTTCTTTCTTCCTTCATTTGTTTTCTCTGTTTTGTCCATTCCTCTTTCTTCCACGTTTCGTTTCTTTTCCTTGCTCCACTCTTAAATCTTCCTTTTTCTAGATCCTCTTCTCCCACCACCACCTTCTGTCAATCATTCCACTCTTTCTCCACTTCCCTCCTACTCTTCTTTCGCCTTTCCCCTTTCCTTCATTCTTTCTCAGTCCCCTCTTCTCCTACTCCCTTCTATTTTTTTCCCTCATTTGTATTTCCTCTTCCTTCTTCCATCCCTCCCCCCTTTTTCCTCTTCCCAGCCTTCTTTATTCCTCCTTTCATCCTTCTTTCTTCCTCCTTCCCTCCTCCTTTCTTGCTCCTCCCCTCCCTTTTCATCCCTCGTTCGTGTGATTAGGATGAGATCGATGATGGAAGGGTATGCCGTCATTTAAAAGGACCGTTCTCTTGCTTATTGACAAGGAGGGGAGGGAGAGAGGGAGGGAGAGAGGGAGGAAGGGAGGAGGGAGGGAGAGAGGGAGGAAGGGAGGGAGGAAGGAGGGAGAGGAAGTGGAGAGAGAGGGAGGAAGGGGAGAGGGAGGGAGGAGGAGGGAGAGGGAGTGAGGGAAGTGGAGTGAGGAGAGGGAGTAGGGAGAGGGAAGTAAGGGAGAGAGGGCAGAAGAGAGGGAGGGGAAGTGGAGGGAGATAGGGAGGAAGGGCAGGAGAGAGGGAGGGAGGGAGAGGGAAGGGGAGGGAGGATAGGGAAGGGGAGGGAGGAAAGGGAGGGGGAGAGGAGAGGGAAGAACAGGGAGGGAGAGGGAAGGGGTGGGAGGGAGAGAAGCAGGAGAGAGGGAAAGGGAGGGAGGAGACGGAAGGGGAGGAGAGAGGGGCAGGAGAGAGGGAGGAAGGAGGGGGAGGGGAGAGGGGGAGATTAACAAGTTTAACAATGCTCGGGGAGACGATTAGAGGGACAAGTGTGAATGGGAACAAATTATAATAATAATAACAACAATGATAATAATAATAATAATAATAATAATAATAATAACAATAATAATAACATCGATAATAGCGATCGTGTCATCCTTTACCGAATACGGCAACATTACTAATAATAGCATAACAGAGGGAGAGTAACGATAATGATGATAAATAATGGTAAGGACAAAAATAAATGAATGAAGCAATATTGAAAATAACGATAATCAACAAAAATAACAGCATTTATAACGATAGTGATAACAGTAAGGATGAAAATGGTCTGACACTAATAAATATAATAATAACAATAATAATCATAATGATAGAAATAATGATAACAATAATAATGATGAAAATAGATAATGATGATAACAACAATAATGGTGATGATGATGATGATGATGATGATGATGATGATAATGATGAATGAATAACAATGAGAATAAGTATACGACATTCACCCTTTTATCTTTTTCTTTTTCAAGGAAAGCAATTTCCTAAAATAACAAGTGAACGCGGATAAAAAAAACATTCCGATGATAAGTAATAGCATTACTCCTACGACAGTAATATCATTACCTTAACATGATGAGCAAGATAATTCTGATGAAAAGAGTAATAGCAAATTCGGTCATACTGCTAATAATAACATAAACAAAAATCTATATAATGGGACCAACACAAATTCTGTTCGGAGTTTTAGTGAGAATAAAACCGAAAGAATATGGCCCAAAGCTTGCCTTCACGTCGCCCTTTTCTCTCTTTCTCTTTCTCTGTCTGTCTCTGTGTCTCTCTTCCTCTTTCTCTCTCTCTTTTTGTCTGATTTTCTTTTTCTTTGTCTGGCTGCCTCTCTCTCTCTCTCTTTTATATTCTCTAATGATTATGGTGAT